TGTGGATTTGATGAATATGATCATTTGAGTTTAATCGGACGTAAGACTGATGATCATTTTCACATCAAAACATGATACACAAGATAAGTTGTCTTACGTCCGATTAAACTCAAATGATCATATTCATCAAATCCACATCTAGTTGTGCTGTATAAGTTGCCTAATGAGCTAAATGAATTAAAATTGGTTACATGTAAGTGATGAATTGTCTTATGTTTCTCCATAAAGTCTTTGCTTATTCTTTCATGCAAGTTTTATTTTTGATTTCATGATTACTGTGTGGATTAACTTGTTTTTTTTCTATATGATGAGAATTATTCTTTTTTGCAGGAAAGCGACAAAGCCAAGTCACTACCTAATGCATTAAGAAGAATGCATCGGGTTATGAATTGTACAATCTGTTGATCTTGAGTAATTTTTATGGTGCTAGAATGGTGGAAAATTGTGTTGGTCCGAGTGAACTTCACTTGAAGAAGGAGCTTACTGCTCTTCGAAAGGCACGATTCTTACGTGACCCTGAGACATGTTCATCTTGGAGGTCACATGTGAGTTCTAGATCATTTATTGCTACTTCCAGTCTAAATTATGGAAATGGAACAATAGGGAGCATAGCTGCAGAAAACAACAATGATGTCTCTGAAAAAAGTAGCAAGGTGTATCTTTGTAATTGGAGGCATTATTCTACTAAATCTAATGAATTTGGAGATTTAGATGATGAAGGCAAACAACTGTCAGTTATGGAAACTTCAGAAGACAACATAAGTAATCATCATTGTGTGGATTCTATGAGTGACACATATCCTGAATTTCCTTTGAGCATGTATAAACTTTCCAGAACAAATTCAGAGGCTCCATGTGGCAGAACTGATAGAAACTCAAGAAGTTCTATTTTGAAAAAAGTTGTGATTAAGCATTCAGCCGTCTCGACACTGCTGGACACGGGATCCAGTTCTTTAGGTATTCTTAACTCAGGTGAGCAATCTGATGATACGGAGAACTGTATCTCTGAAGATCTACGTCAATTGAAGCACGAGCTGTCTAAAAAAAAGTGTTACCGTTCTTGCTCTGCATCACCTTTAATCAGTGAATCTGGATATGGCAATTTGTCATGTTCCTCAAAAATATTTAGAACAACCGTAAGAGAAGGGTCATCTCAATCATGTACTCCCACATCAACAAACTCTTACTACAAATATGGTGCTCAGAACCCCAGCATCATTGATTCTTGTGATGGAACTGCAGCTTCTTTTGATGGGGATGAACTGGATCAGCCAGACTTCCCGAAAGGTCAAGGATGTGGCATGACTTGCTACTGGTCAAAGGGAACTAAATATAGAGGAACTGGAGGTCTTTATTCTCCTTCACTGTCAGATACTCTAAAAAGAAAAGGCAGTAGCATTCTATGTGGAAGCCAGTCATTGCGTAATAAGAAAAGATCGTCTGGTTCCCAAAAGCAGAAGTACATCTCAACATGTTCTCAAGGTTTGCCTTTGTTGGCTAATAGTTGTGATGAAGGTAGTTCCTCCTTAGATACTGCTAGTGATGAGCTTTCAACTAAACTTGGGGAGCTTGATTTGGAGGCAGTAAGCCGGTTAGATGGAAGGAGGTGGTCTAGCTGTAAAAGCCATGATGGACTAGAGCTAGCTGCACCTGGAGATTCTGACTTGGAGATAGTGGATAAGAGAAGCTTAAGCCATAAATACCAGCCTAGGTCCTTTGATGAAGTAATAGGCCAGAATATTGTTGTTCAGTCGCTCAGTAATGCAATTTTAAGGGGAAGAGTAGCTCCAGCCTACCTGTTTCAGGGTCCTCGTGGCACAGGAAAAACATCAATTGCAAGAATATTTTCAGCAGCCTTGAATTGTTTGTCTAAAGAAGATAAGAAGCCATGTTGGTTATGTAGGGAATGCACTGCTTTTTCCTGCAGGAACAGAACAAACATGAACGAAGTGAATGCCACAAATAACAAGGGTTTGGATAAATTTAGATATTTGTTGAAGAATCTCTCGTTATCTAAAGCAACTTCACAATATAAGGTTTTTGTTATTGACGAATGCCATATGTTGTCTCCAAAAATTTGGTCATCATTCATGAAGTTTCTTGAAGAACCAATGCCTCGTGTTGTCTTCATATTTATAACAATTGACCCTGAGAACTTGCCTCATTCCATTATATCACGTTGTCAAAAATATGTCTTTTCAAAGGTCAAGGATATCGATATAATCTGCCGACTGAGAAAACTCTCTGAACAAGAGAATCTCGATGTTGAACTAGACGCTCTAGATTTAATTGCTTTGAATTCAGATGGTTCACCAAGAGATGCGGAAACAACACTTGACCAATTGAGTTTGCTGGGCAAAAGAATCACTACTTCTCTTGTAAATGATCTGGTTAGTTTGATTCTAATTTAACTTTAGTCTGAATAAAACCTGTGATTTCAGCTTGTACTTGCTTTAATAGTCAATATGGCTCACTTAGATCTTCTCTGCACTTCACCTGATGTAGATACTTTAAATGAAATTAATCGATGAAAATCTAGTTTGGAACATTTACAATTTTCAAACAATCCTCAGTCAGTTTAGGTCCTTCCAGAAAGTGTAGATTTTGATGATTTTGGATGATAACTTTGAGTTCTTCAATTATCTGAATTCTACATTTAGCTCCAAATTTCTGTCTTCTGCTTTATGGCAATACAAACTTTGCATTTCTTAGATTATTTTCATATCCTTTAACATTGGATTAAAACATGGGCTAAGATTGTAGATTTCATTTCCATCTTAATTGTAATCTCCATCTGACATGTACACAATTGCAAGAAACAAGTCTTGTAGCCTGGCTTTGTGATGGTGATATTTAACTATGTAATTTGCACTTGATATAACAACATCATTGTTGCAATAACTTTCAGTTTAGATGATCTTACATCCATATCTTGATTTGCAACTTCACTTTCACTTGATTGTGTATATACTATTCTAATCATTCTTGGATATATATCTCTCCTTGCCTCTAGGCATTACTAACAAAGGAGGGCTTCGCTTGTAGAAGCAAAATTTCTCGTTTAAACCACCTGGCCTTTCATCCTTGCCAAGGTGAAGTCAAATTTGAGACTTGAAGAGTTGACTGGGAAATTGAGATTCTGTCATACCAAACCAGTGCTTGTTTCTTCTAATCTAGATAAAGCTTAGGCATGTTGCTTCAGATAATTGCAAAGTAATAGAGCCTAGAATGTAGCCACATTTTAACTTAGGTTTCACAAACCATATCTATCTAAATGTTGGACCATCTCAAACAGCACTGGTTTTGATGCACAAAATATTGAATGCACCAACATCATCTGACCTCCCTCCTGTGTGGTTGAGGTCTCACAAATATGCAGAAACTCCCTGTAGTCAACTTCTCCTACTTCTACCCACTACGTGGTGCAATTGCAACCTCAATTTCAATAGATATCCCAGAAAATAGTACACTGATTAGTTATTGCTGAGTGCAAGAACAGGTTTGTTGCACTGAAGAACATAAAATTGTACAATTTTGTTTTTTTCATTGAGTTAAATAAAAAGTGAGGAAAGGCAATGAATCTGTAATGTGAGCCAAAATGCTCTACCACTCATAATTAGCTATGATTGCAGTATGGCATGGAGTGGCATGCACCATATTCTCAACATCTTAGCATGAAAATATAGTTCTATATGGAGACAAACATGGCATGGTGCGGTCATCTGCTAAGCTTAAAGATAGTAACCTCAGACGACAATTTGCTTTCTATCAGGCATCAGCCCTCTGTTTGTTAGGGATATATTATAATCATCTACCATCACATGTAACTTAGTTATTGCATCCTTAACCGGTTCTTCAGCAAGTATTTCATTATAACGTCCACTTTCCAATCATCTGGAGATAATACTTTAACTTTTAAGATCATATATGATAGCATCTGAAATTTAAAAGGGATGTATGGTACTTGGAAGTTTCCAGAGAGCTAATCATAATTAGGATCCTATCAATCTTTGACTCAGAACAATTTGATTATCTTCTTGAACCCATCTTTTTAGCATAGAAATTTTGTAAGTAATATAGTTACCATTATATAGGAATTAGTATATTTTGCATGAAAATAATAGAAAAATCTCAAGTTGTTTTAAAATGGTTTTTTGTTCTCAACATTGTTAGAAGTTTTGTTGCTTTTATGTTATTTATTAGTGAGAAGCTGGTTTAGGTCAAGCTGCATATGTATTTATTTGTTGGATTTAATGGAAATATTTCTTTTATCCATAAACTCTCTTGGAAATCTTCCAGGTTGGTGTTGTTTCAGATGATAAGTTGCTTGATCTACTGGAGATAGCCATGTCATCAGACAATGCCGAAACTGTTAAAAAATCTCGAGAGCTGATGGATTCTGGTGTTGATCCAATTGCCTTGATGTCCCAATTAGCCAGTCTTATAATGGACATAATTGCTGGTACTTATGAGTTAACCAACTTGCAAAGTCATGACATACCCCTTGGGAAGAGAAGTCGTGAGTACATCAAATTATATCCGTATTATAAAGATCAAGTTGATAGTATATTTTCCATATTGTTCTATTATTTGCTTTGATTGTTGTTGAAGTGTTAAATAAAATAGAGTATGTACCATCCATCATTTTCTTGAATTTCGAATGCACTATAGCTCCTTCGACTATTGTGTTACTGTAGGACAATAGAGGGTTGGAATATGGAAAGCAGGTGAGTCAACATGTTGAACATGATCATTGATTTTTGCTGTATCAATTAAAAGTCAACAGAAACAAGCATAAAAAAGAAGGAAAAGGGACCAGCTTCCATAAAGTAGTGGTTACATATACAAGAGAGGGCCTAAAATCTTGATATTATTCAGTGGAAATCTAATAAGTTGAAAATTTAGAAAAAATAGATCATTTTGTATTATGTGCTCTGAGATGTTTCCTATTTCTTTTTTGTGTAGTCCAGTACCTTATGCTGGACTGATATTTAACTCGTACTACATATAGTGTTATCCTGGGTCAACTTAGTGATCTGATGGGACAAGCATAGACATGGAAATTGTGAATTCATGGGTTTACTTGTTGACAATGACTAACCTGTAACAAGTCATCGTCTCTTATATTTAGTTGTTCACCATCATCTCTTTTCTTGTAGACTGTAACTATAGGTAGTTCAACACAAATTTTCTTCTTGTTCTCTATTGTTGGTCTTGTTGTTTTTCTTGTTCTTTAAAAAAATGATTTTGATCCATTTATTTTAGCTGCATTGCTGTTGCTGTTTATCTAGTTTAAAGATTGCTGATGCTATTTTATTAAAAAACCAGTGAAAATGTGCAAGCTGAATATTTTGGGTCTCTAAATCATATGTGCCTAGACAAATCAACTTGGCTGAAAAGTAGTTGAGCCCGCCAAAATAATTTAATGTAACTAATCTAGAAAATCTAAAACAAACAGCCCAATTCTCTCCTACCAAACTAATCCTAGGCAACTTTATTATAGAATTCTGAGCAAAGGAACATAGTATTACGACTCCAGCAGCAAAAGTTGAATATATTTTGTTCTCAAATCATAATTTTGCTTCTGATTAATTTTAGCACTAAAAAGTAGAATTATCCTATACATATGACTCATGAATCTGTAAGCGAACTTCATATATCACAATCTTGAATTTTGTCATGTTTTAACTGTTCAACATATTATATTTCTGAATAGTGGCTATATATCATATGCCTGCACAATCTGAATTTCCTTCCGTTCCTAGTATTGTCATCATATCAAATGTTATTCTCATTCGTTGATAATAGATCTTACTTTCTAATATATCCTGCCTGTCTGACCTAAAAAATATTGAGAGGTGTTGAACTGTATTTTTGCAATTCAATATAAAGTACAAGGACACTTTATTGGTGTTTTATTTTAGTCCTTTTATTCTGCAATGAATTCCATTAGATTTTGAGCACTGACTTGCTTGATTACCTCTGATGTGTAGTGACTGAAGCTGAGTTGGAAAGACTAAGACAGGCTCTCAAGATTCTTTCTGATGCTGAAAAACAGCTAAGACATTCAAGTGAGCGCTCAACATGGTTCACAGCAGCTCTACTACAGCTTGGTGCTGGTCATAATTTAGAAAGTACTCAGTCAAGCAACAACACTAAAAGGAGCACTAGAGGAACTGATGATGTGGTGTCTGACATGGTTTGTGACTCCAGAATCTGCAAGAACAGGTTTCATTCTCTGCTCACCATCCAGGAATCAGTTCATTTTTATATGTTAGACACCAAAGTGCCCCACAACATATAGAATGAGAATGAATGATGAGTTATGTGTTGCCTGCAAACAGGACATCTCTTGATGGTACCTTGACTGAGTCTGGCCCGACAGGTGATGCGACTGATATGAAGGTATATAAATATGTAAGCCTAGATAAACTGGATGAAATCTGGAGAAGGTGCATTGATGGATGCCATTCAAGGACATTGAGGCAATTGTTATATGACCATGCAAGGGTAGCATCAATCACTGAAAATGAAGGTAAGACATTTTGTCCTAATACAAAGTTTTACTTTAAAAGTTGACTGACCTGGTAAAATTATGTTGCTTCATTAATCATATTGTCACGACCCGAGTTTGATGAACCAATTGACCAATAACTTCATTTTGGTCCTTCAATCATAGACCAAAATGGGAGTTTTTGTAGTACACTCATCAAACCCATATAAGACAATCATACTCATTGCCCACTTCCGATGTGGGACTAATGGGATGTTACAATATCCCCAACTCAATTAGCTTGACGTCCTCGTCAAGGTCCAACATAACCCAGATCGAACCCTAGCATAGTGCATGTGAGGTTTAACTCAGTGGTGGCTCCACGCTGTGATGAGTTCTCGACTCCATCCACGGGTAGCCCTTTCCTACTCGAGCCCTCTCACCCTGCCCAAATACTAGGTCGGCTCTGATACCAAATGTCACGACCCGAGTCTGATGAGCCAACTGGCCAATAACTTCATTTTGGTCCTTCAACCACGGATCAAAATGCTTAAGCGGGAGTTTTTGTAGTACACTCATCAGGCCTATATAAGCCAATCATACTCATTGCCCACTTCCGATGTGGGACTAATGGGATGTTACATATATACTTGCTGGTAATCAGTCTCGTACATCAAAATTTTTTCTCCATGTGATGGAAGCTTTTATAGATTATTTGATTATTCCCTTTTGCACCGTTAAACTGTGTCAGACAATATTACATCTATGAATTAAAATCTAGACAAGGTTATGCAATCATGTGTAGGTATAAGAATTCAGGGTATGAGAAATTTTTTCATTGGTATTCAAAGGCCTTTCTTAAAGAATATTTGTCATGAACAAGATAGATGACGGAGATGTTTTTTTAGTGTTAATTTCAAGGATTGCAATTTCGTACTGTACCGAAGTTTCGATCTCAGCTCGGTACTATACCGAGTGGTATGCTTTAGCGTATCGCTTGGTGTGTGTGTGTTTATATATATATATATATATATGTATGTATGTATATATATGTATGTATGTATATATATATATATATGTATGCATATATATATATGTATGCATATATATATATATATGCATATATATATATATATATGCATATATATATATATATATATATATATATATATATATGTATGTATGTATGTATGTATAAGTTCAAAAATAAAAAAAGAGGCATCGTCTCGTTTCTTCTCCCCGCGTGGGGAACGGTTTCTTCTCCCCTCCAAGGCTTCTTCTCCTCATGCGGATGAGAAGTGACCGACGATGCCAAGGCCTTGTCACCTCAGATAAGGAGGCGACATCTCATATGTGGTGTCCGGCGAGGGAGGGCGGCGACAGATCGGGATCGTCGAGGGAGAGCGGCGTTGGATCTCCAGGTTCTCTCTTTTCTTCTCCCTCGGCTAATACCGCCCGCTACGGTAATGGGGCGGAAATAGCCCCAATCGACGGTACCGCCCAGTAGCGGACGGTCCGTGTACCGATCTGTACGGATGGTATCATTCGTAATTAAAATCCTTCGTTAATTTTATCAATCAATAAAGGCTTTCTGTTGATGTTATCATACAAGGATGAACTTTTATTGATACTATCATAAGGAGACTTTGATCAATAGTCCTAAGTTCTTATTTCATGTAAATATGAAATAGTATTTCGTAAAAGTAGCTTTTTTCTTGAATAAGGCTTAAGTGTCATGGTGAGGTTACTTCTTTATGACTTTGATGATCAGGGTTTTCTTTACATCAGTAATCTCTTTGCTTTTATACGCTCCACAGACCTTGTATTGGTGAGAGCTTGTTCACATAGCTGCTGCATTTTTGCTTCTTTTTTGAATCAGTTAATTAGAAATGCTGGTAAGACCAAGTATCATATTCCATGGGCAAAAAGGGTAAACCTAGTGCATGAGACTCATATAAGTATGTAGCCTTACCCCTATACTTGTGACTTCCATGACGCAAGACCTGTGCACGGAGGATTGTATTGTTTTTATGACTTCCATGACACAAAAGAACAACCTCACTGGATTAGCAAGACTGGTTCTCTAAGTGTCACATTCCATATATGTATGAACAATATGACTTTTTTTGTAGGTGGACCTCATCCATTTGCTTCACTGTTCAGTTTTTACATCAGTGTCATCATGTCGTATTTGTTGCTTATCCAGCCAGATTGACTGAAAAACAGATGTTCAGTTTCAGATTGATTCTTCATCAATAATGTTAAGCAATAAAAAAGAATCATTTTTGTGTTTTTCTTCTTTATTCAAATTGCACATAATTAGGTAGATGTATGCATCACGGAAAACGTTATGCATCTCGGAGATCAATCAGATTAGCGATCTTAAGATGGACATATCAGCAAACAATGAGTTGATACAAACTGACATATTGTCAATGACTGCAGTATTAGTCTGCCAGTAACTGCCAGTCTTAAATCTATGCCAGTAACCGTCAGTCTTGCCTGTTTTAGTCTCTTCTATTCTCTAGAATGTCTCATATTCTTGGTGTCCTTGCTGTAGCTAATGCATCTTTTGTTGGACTTACATGGATCTCCTATTTTGACCATCCTATACTTGTTCTTTATGGTTGCTGTCAATCTCAGTATCCTCAATCAGGTTAGATGAATTTAATTGCTTGATACAATATTCTGTTAATTTTGAAAGGCTGCTTGCTATTTTGTTTTTTTAGAAATTCTATCAATGCCACACATTTTAGTAGGAAAAGATGGCCACTTCATTATCAAAATTTTCCTTTAACAGTCGTGCATATTGAATCTATTTGTTATAAGAGGACAAAATTAAATTACTGATACTGTGTTTTGTGTCAAATTGAAGTTGCTTTTCTTGACAGAGAGTTAATTATTTTACCCCTTCTTCAGGAACTTTGGTTGCTCTGATAGCATTTGAGGATGACAAGATCAAGACCAGAGCTGAGAGATTTTTGAGCAGCATCACAAACTCATTTGAGATCGTCTTCAGACGAAATGTGGAGGTCAGGATGATTCTTGCAACTGAAAATTCTGATGAACGGAATGCTCTTTCAAGATCTCCTGCAGGGAATTCTGTAGAAAAAGATAATCAGAATATGATAGAATTAGATACTACAAATGGCCTTTCTGGTAAAGATAGATGCAAAGGGACCTCTTACTTGCCTGGAAAAAGTATAGGTCACTCCGACAGCTCTGTAACAGCAGAAGACTGCCTAGCAGACAGGATTCCCAGCATTTCAGCTGAAGGAAAAAATGACTCATGTCTTAGTGAAGATCAAGGGCAACTGGATTCAACACAAAGCTTTCCAAGAACAGCTGCAGATGAGCAAAAGTTAGAGAGCGCATGGCTTCAAGCTGCAGAGAAATATACACCTGAAATTATTAGTCATTCGAGGCCAGAGAAGAACCAAGTTCTGCCACAAAATGGTGTCATCTATCAGAACAATAATCAGTCATTCCTTGGACCTGCTGCAACATCAAAGAATAAGGTAGATGAATTAAAGCATGAAATCCAAGCTTTGAAAGTCAGCTATGCTGAGGGCGGCCACAAGGGACAAATAGGTGGTGCCGGTCAGTGTGTTGTTTCTCCAAGTTTATTGCACAGCAACACCACCAACGCCGACAAGAACTCGTGAGTTAATTTCTTGAGTGGAAAATCATGTGCAATCTGATTATTGTTCATCCATCTTCTTTTCTGCTTTTCTGATAGATAATTGAACAAGTTTACTTAAATATGGTGAATTAATCAAAATCCTTACACAGCGCTTTTCTGCTTCTAGATCTATGCATAATATAACATAATCACTTGTTCAGTTCTTTGCTTCAAAGCTAATTTCTGTCTGATAAGACAAATCATGCATTATGATCAACTGTCTTCCAGGTTGTTTAACTTCAGTGCAGTTTCGTACATAAACATGGTTAATGCTTCGGTATATGTTAGTTGCACTTCTGAAATCATCAATTTATGTTGCAGGGGTTATGAATCATGGCCTGTATGCAATGGTCTCCTCTGTTGGAAGACCCACAAAAAAATCGAGGGACAAAAGGTATGAATTGAAGCTAGTAGATTTAGATATTTCATACTACATAGATATGGGAGTTTAAGCATCAACTTTCCTGTTAGTCTCAGGTAAAACAAGGAGTTCGTGTTAGATCGAAAAAGATCAGCCATATCTTCCATTGTTTGGACAGTGTGCGCAGCTGAAGTCCGCAGAAAGAAAATCCAGGAAATAAGCTTGTAAAACTTTTCGCCATGTTATCAATTTTTTCTTGTAGAAATGTCAGTTCTCTTTGGGTGGAAATCCCATATCTTGACAATGTATTCTCCTTTGTCTAATTGTACATGAGCAGAATTTTTCATGTTTCCAAGTATAAAAGTGGTATGGGTCTTTCATATTCTTGAGTCTTTTTGCAAATCTAATCAAATATCAGGATGGCAATGAAGTATCACAAATGCTTCATCAGGATCCACTTTAAGGTTCATGAACTGATCATGACTTTTATTAGAAGGAAAATATGTATCCTAACTAGATGACAGTTGATTGTACAGTCAAATTGCCATCAATCACTTCCATCTTGAGTTCATCAATGGACCCATCATCCATCATGCTGAGTGATTATGGCAGAAGATACTTTCTTTTTGGGTTGACCAACTAATTCCTAATCCACAATTCAGTGGATTTCATGTTTCTAAGTCCACATTTCATGGTGTTCCAAAAGTTGATCTCCACCGGTTATGTTGAATTAATCTAGGCTATTCACAAATAATGCCATCACTGGAAGATATTTCTGAACAAAATCTACCACTGCAGCAACAAAGAGAGCAAAACAAAGAATCAAAGCACTCAAACAAATTCCATGAACTGTATCATTCAAGTTGCAACCTTATTTTCTTTCCTGCTTTTTTTGTAAAGATAAAAGGCCACAATTTTCTTTACAAACTGTTTTAGCTGAAAGAACCTGGATTGGACAGCCGATATCGCTGATCTAACTCCAAACTATCAAGAAGCTCATGCCAAGGCCATTGTGACTTAACACCTTCCTCCACGACCATCTTATCGGCAATTGAATCAATGGATACCGCAGATCTGAGAGTGCTGTTGCTGCTATTGCTGCAACTGCTACCGTTGTTACTATTGCTGGTAATTTTATCTTGAAGTCCAACCCTCACACCAGTGATCAGAAACCGTCGATGCGAAGACACATATGGACTGGCTGTGTGGATGGTGACATCGCACTGCCGACAGAGCATAGCACGGTCCTCCAAGCAGAAGAAGTACCCAGCTTTCTCCTGTACATCAATGGTAGGAGGATTATGAAGGCTTGTGCATTTACCAGTATAACTTGTCCAAGAACAAATTTGCAGGCTATGCACTCTAAAAGAAATAATAATGACAATCCGCATTGGCACCAAACTGCCCATGTAGTTTAAACTTTAAACCTCCTCTTGATAAAATCAACAATGAAGGTGAAATGATCCAACAATTTACTCTAACCAGATGCAAAGAATATTGCATTTATGAACAGATAGAGGACGAAAAGACAAGAGGCAAAAACAAAAGATCTACCTATTAACTTGAAAGATCTAAAACCACACGACACACACTATTTATGCCCAACAATCTGAATCAGGGCTGTTAACACTTTCGGTTCCTAGGTGCAGCCAATAGCTTCAAACATCTTTCCCGCCAGGTGAATTCACCGTGCTGCCCAAAGCGGATCAGGTCTCACTTTTTTTCAGAGAAAATATACAGCATTTTACATATCGAAAAGAAAGAAAGAACAATTTCTAGTGCCACTGAGGAAGAAGAATTCTATCACTTGGCCTACACCAAACATAGGTAGCAACTACCAGAATGGCGCAACCATGAGCATATCCAAAGATGGATCTAATTTGCATTATGTTATCAGAAAAGAGGTTTTTGACAGTTGCTATTATTCAAGCTCAGATCTACCCACCAGCCCACACAATAAAATGACAACTAGTTGTAATCTTGTGATGGGCAGTTGGTTCCTTTAGACAACAGAATTAATAGTGCTAAGTTAGCAAACATCTTGTTAATCCTTATCACAAATGCAATAGCAGCAAAATTATATCAGAAAGAAGTAGTACCGTATGGTAGAGGAATTATGTTACAGGTTTCACACGCATATTTATGAAGCAACTGATTTGTGTCTGAAAGTTATATCAATGTAGGGATCATCTTTCATTCTGATGTCAACAATTAAGAGCTCATTAACCTTTTTTTTATGTACATTATGCTGAATCTAGTTTAACTAGGAATCAAAATTAGCATAATTGTTTGAAGTTTTTTATTTAAGCATCGCATCATGTTAGTTATACTACAATAAATGTCAAGTTGGATCTGCTTGCAAAATTGATTACATGATGAAAAAATCTTTTGTATAAGATAAAGTGTAGCAAGTGCAGTATTTTGGTGACAAAAGCATCTGCAACCAATCTCGAGATCTGAAAGCCTGTTCTAATTTACATGACAAGAGACCTTTAACCATGAAACAACCCCTCAACCTTTACAGAGAAAGTAAAGGAACTGCATGTCAAAATAAAGTGCAACACCTCTCTAGAGATTCAAAAAGAGGCCTCCTCTCAATCCAAGAGGGCAGCCAAGGATTTTACATACATACATACACAAAAGAGAATAAGTAGGCCACCTGACGTAGGATCAAGAGCATGAAAATTATATTTCTTTGAAATTAGTATCCAGTTGTAGACTGTTCAAATGAGAAAAAAATGATTTTTGAGTGAAAAAAGCTGCATTATGAGTTCTGCATGGGATTTGAGAGGCTAATTTCCCCACTGAATGCGTATAAAACACTGCATGGAAGCTGCAGTAAACATTGTATTCATAAAACTCCCTCGATTTTAATCTACTAAACCACTCAATAAATCCAAGAGCAAAAAAGAAGCGAAATTTCCATCTCAGATACTGTGAAGAACACATAGACGACTATGGGTCTTTGCTGAAGAACATCATTATAATCGTTAGCAGGGATTGGGTGGTAGCTACCTGACAGATATCACAGGAGGGGATATGCGAAGAAGAAGAGCTGGAATTGGCGGGGAGAAGGAGGGGGACTCGCTGGTGCATTCCGGCGAGTTTGTTGGCGGCGTGCACCTTCTCGTCACAACCCCAGCAGAGCGCGGCCTCGTCGGCGCAGCACAGCACTGCCGCCGTCGCCCTCTCGCACACGTCGCACTGTATCTTCATCCCTGTTCCTCGATCGACTAAGGAAGCACCACCTCCCCAGCGGTCAGCGCTCACTCGAGCTCACCCGTCGGTGTATCGATCCAGACAAAGGAAATCTAGAATAGATTACAATATATCTAGCGAGAAATACCCAACAAAGTCGAGGAAGCCGACTTCCGATTTCTGCATTACCACTTACATTGGGTGGGACATCTGGAGCAACAACGAGCGGATGTAAGGCTCGTAAAGGAGGGTGTAGAGCTACTTGGAGCTGTTCTTGGGCGAGCAGAGATGGACCGGGAGCTGGTAAGAGAGAGGGCAGCACTTAAATTGGTGAGTTCGGCAGGGGAAGACGAAGACGGGGAGCGGAGGAAAGAGAGAGGAAATCAGCAAAAGCGAAAGAGATATTTTTGTTGGCAGGTGTTGACCGCACTCTGTGTTTGTGGTAGCAGTTGACGGAATCACGTCAATCTTTTAACCTCCCTCTGTTCTAAGCAATAGCCAATGCTTCTGCCGCAAGTCTCACACGTTGTGTTCATAGATTTATGAAGGTTGACTTGCTGGTGACAACAGGTGAGTGCACAATTTTTAGGTTCTTGCATAGGTAACCTTAGTCAAAGGTTGATGACATCAATAATTGCTGAGATTGTAACTCACAATTGATTGCAACATTGTACAAAAAAATCTTCTTTCATTGATGATAAGATTAGAGTAGGTATCATGACTTTTAGAGGATATATATATATATATATATATATATATATATATATATATATATATATATATATATATATATATATATATATATATATATATATATATATAT